CAAATGAGAAAACCATTTCACCGTTTGCACCCTCATCCAAATCAGTTGCATTAACCTGAATAACTAAAGTACCTGGATCTGCGTTTTCGTAAAGAATAGCAGAATATACATCTTTTGTAAAAACAGGTGAATTGTCATTAACATCAAGCACTTCAATTAATATCATTGATGTTCCAGACCTCGCCGGCCTCCCGCCGTCAACAGCTGTGAGCAAAAGCTTGTGTTCTATCGAAGTCTCTCTATCTAACTGTTTCTTTAATATCAGGAAGGGCAACTTGCGGTCTTCACCCCTCTCCTTAACCTCCAAACGAAAGTGATCATTCTGGCTGAGTGTATACTGCTGAACGGTAAACTGAGCCCCGTCGGGGTCGCGCGCAGGTTGGAGCTGGAATTTTGCTCCCGGTAACGTCGATTCAAATATTTCGAGTCGCTTCTCTTTCTCAGGAAAGACGGGGGAGTGGTCGTTTACATCCAGCACCTCAATGGCCACGTAATGGATTTCCAGAGGATTTTCTAACACGGTTTTAAGGTTGATTATGCACGCCTTACTTCGTTCACATATGTCTTCCCTGTCCACTTTCCGGCTGACATACAGAATGCCGTCGTCCGGATTCAAACGAAAAAGAGGTTCCGTCGAACCACCAACAATGCGATATTCTCTATCTTTCAGTGTAACCTTATCCATTCCCAAGTCTTTTGCAATATTTCCAACAACACTTCCTTCTTTCAGCTCCTCCGAGATCGAATATCTGATCTGAGCCGAGGCTTTGCTCCAAAACGTTACCAAAACCAACATGTAGGCAACGCATCTCCATCGTTCGTTCCACGGCTGGCGTCCGCTTTGTTCCATAATGTAAAAAAGGAGAAAAATAATAATTCCGGTATCTTTACTTCAATGGTTAAGACATAAAATCATTCGTATTCCTTTGCAAACTGCGTTGTTTCACCGATACACTCCTTGGAATTGAACAGCGCTAATTCTGTGTTGAAGCCCTTACACCTCAATGACAAACTGCATGATTGGACCTAACGGTGATGACGAAAAGCTTTGGGCAAACACTTTGCTATTATACCGACACCATGCGATCCAACATGTTATTGCAAAACATTTTGATCAAAAAACATTGTAGCATAGAAATATGATGCGTCAACGAAGCCCAGAGACGAACAATGAGGAGAGATTTGCAATAATTACATTTCTTTCAGTCACAAGACGTGCCTACTTGAAAAAGCATTTACTTTAATAATCTGATCTAAGAAATCCGTATTTATCAGAAATATATGATTATATAAAAATTATATAAAAAAACTCCGCAACAAAGCTTCAGCACCACGGACAGCGGCAGCGCATTCTGACGTGGCGGAATAGAGTGGACACTATTCAAAGGTTCGATTGAACAACAGGATAAAGGACGTTTCCATGAAGAAATATATCTTAATGTTATCGAGTCGAATCGCATATCCTGTTTTTAAACACCAGGATATATTTATTCTATGAAGACATTTGACTGTAACGTAAGTTAATGGCACCAAAATGGCTGACGTGAATTTATCATTATATTTCAATGTGTGTAACCACGGAAGTATGTAATTTCTTCTTCAAATTAAATGAGGTTATTATACTATAGATAATAGCAATGTATCTTACCTCTCCATGTGTCCTCCTGTCAGGGAGCATCAGTGTGTTTGCATGGCTGCCCGGGACAATAGTAGATCCTATACTCATTCTGGGTCCAACTAACATGTAGCGCTTCTCTCCAGATCTGTACTGGATGCTGTGACACAGTGTCCCGTCGTAATTAGTCTCTTGGAGATATTTAGAAGTATACTCTGTGGATTTAGAGCACTGCATTGCAATCAGCACGATGATACTGATGAGAAAAGTGTTGAAACTGAGCCCAAAGTTATCATCAGGTAAAAAGTCACGTTATTATCCGCCTCGTCATTTGTTGCACTTTTAACATCCGAAGCAGCAAAAGCCTCTTTAGGCTCCACAACTTTGACAATCACAGTAGCTGTTGCTGAGAGTGAAACGTTCCCGTTGTCTTTCACCAGTATGACCAGTTTATGCTCAGCCTCGTCCGTCTCTGTGAACGAGCGAAGTGTTCTGATCTGTCCTGTATAGCGGTCCAACCCAAAGAGACTGTGGTCAGTAACTTCCTGCAGTGAAAACAGTAACCAGCCGTTATATCCTATATCAGCGTCATAGGCTCTGACTTTAGTCACCAAGTGTCCTGCGTTCACATTGCGGGGAATCTCCTCCACACCTTCAGCAGAACCGTTAGAGCTGAGAGGATACAAGATGATTGGAGCGTTGTCGTTCTGATCCAGAATGAACACGTGCACCGTGACGTTGCTGCTCAGTGACGGAGTCCCAGAATCTGTGGCGACAACTTGGAACTGGAACGTTTTCAGGGTTTCAAAGTCAAAGCTTTTAAGGGCCAAAATATCTCCATTTTCTGAGTTAATATTTAAAAATGAGCTGAATTTATTATCCCCGCTTGCTTCCCTCGGAATACGATATGAAATAACAGCGTTTTCACTTTCATCACAATCGAATGCTTTTACTGCAAAGACCGAGGCTCCCGGGATGTTATTCTCTGTGATATAAATGACATAGGGGTTTAAAGAAAACTCTGGAATATTGTCATTGACATCTGATATTACGACGCTTATCGCCTTTTCAGTTGAAAAAATCGGATCCCCTGAATCCTTCGCAATAATTGTGACATCAAATTGTGAAACGTTTTCCCTGTCCAATTGCGATCTAGTGACAATAGCGTACATGTTTTCTTGCAATGAGGGGACTAACGCAAACGGCACTTTTTCTTTGATCGTGCAAATGACTTTTCCATTGACTCCGTAATCTAAATCACTGACACTAATCAGGGCCACCGTGGTTCCTAACTTTGAATCTTCCTTGATAGAGCTAGAAAATGACGTCAATTCGATCACAGGTGCATTATCATTTATATCAATAATGGTAATCATAACACTTTTGTCAGCTGTTAAAGGAACTTGCCCCTTATCAGACGCCTGAATGTCAATTTCATAACTTTTACTTTGCTCAAAATCGATTTGACCAGTTACCTTTATTTCACCGGTGTTTGAGTCAATACTAAAAACATCCATCACTTTTGAATCAACCTCGTGACCAAATGAATATACTATTTCGCTATTTGCACCCATGTCCAAATCTGTTGCATTTACCCGAATCACCACAGTGCCCGCCGGGGAGTTTTCCTTAAGTGTGGAAGAATAAATCTCGTTGGTGAACACCGGGGAGTTGTCATTAACATCCAGCACAATCACAATAATATCTATGTTGCCAGACTTCACCGGTTTACCTCCATCAACGGCTGTTAGACGAAGCTTAAGTTTCCCGACTGTTTCTCTATCCAACTGCTTCTGCAGGACTAAAAATGGTACTTTACGGTCCTCACCTCTGTCCTTGACTTCTAATCTAAAATATTCGTTATGGCTTAGTCTGTATTGCTGAATTGTGAACGGCCCCACGTCTTCATCGTGCGCAGCCTGTAATTGAAATCTCGCTCCCATTAGGGCCGACTCTGAAATCTCAAGCCTTTTTTCTTTCTCTGGAAAAACCGGCGCGTGGTCATTTATATCAAGTACTTCCACTACCACATAGTGGATCTCAAGTGGGTTTTCTAGCACGGTTTTCAGATTGATCAAACATGGACTGGTCCTTTCGCACACCTCCTCTCTGTCTATTCCTCGTTTCACATACAATATACCATCGTCTTGATTCACTAAAAAGAGAGGTTCAGCTGAGCCTGAAACAATGCGATACCTTCTATCTTTGAGTGCACTCTTATCCAGCCCCAAGTCCTTAGCTATGTTCCCGACGACGGATTCCCGTTGAACCTCCTCCGATATGGAATATCTGATCTGTGCAGAAGCTCCGTTGCATAAAATATCCAAAACAAAGACGAAGGTGAAGCAAAACCATAGCTCCCTCCATACTGTGCTTCCTCTTTGTTCCATGACTGGAAGGCGACACATAACTGTCCATTAGCTGCTGTGTGATGTCAAAAAAGCTCAATCCGCCGTGTATCGATAAAACGCCCAGTTCATGTTTCTCCCCAGAACTGCGAAAATGAATCGCTGTCGCTGCCTATCGCGATCTTTCGATCGGATTTGCTGGGTAAATTGCAACGGTCTGGTCCAAATGAAGCTCGTGACGTAAGGTGCTGGCAGATAAAGAGAATCACTGAACTACACTGACACCAAGTGTTAAAGACGTTATTCGCAAAAAAGCCGTGATCAAGTGTTCAGGAGAAAAATAAGCCTGCAATGAGACCTGCTCTGACAGTTTCATCGTGAGAAAAATGTTGTAGCGTTATTCTTGTTATTTATATTCCAGACCTTTGACAGCCTCAAATGAAAAAAAACCCTAAATTGACGAACAAAGGATGCTAATACATTTCAAAATAAAATATGTGTGTTTGAGCACCATTAAAAAGATCAACATTTGCATATAGTGAAGACACCATCAGGACAAAAAGCTATTGTGAAAAATAATTTAAGTCCCAAAGTGTAAAAATGTTTTGGATGCTGGTTATGAGATTTCGTGCTAAAGAGAGAAGGCCACATCAAGAGGATCCATATTTAAAACATTAAGCAAGTGTTATTATCAGCATGTAGAGACAATTGGACTTGAAAACTGTTAATCTTACCTCTCCAGATGCCAGCCTCCTATCAGGGAGCATCAGTGTATTCGCATGGCTTCCCGGGACTATAGTAGATCCTATACTCATTCTGGGTCCAACTAACATGTAGCGCTTCTCTCCAGATCTGTACTGGATGCTGTGACACAGTGTCCCGTCATAATTAGTCTCTTGTAGATATTTAGAAGTATACTCTGTGGATTTAGAGCACTGCATTGCAATCAGCACGATGATACTGATGAGAAAAAGTGTTGAAACTGAGCCCAAAGTTATCATCAGGTAAAAAGTCACGTTATTCTCCTCCTCGTCATTTGTTGCACTTTTAACATCAGAAGCAGCAAAAGCCTCTTTGGGCTCCACAACCTTGACAATCACAGTAGCTGTTGCTGAGAGTGACACGTTCCCGTTGTCTTTCACCAGTATGACCAGTTTATGCTCAGCCTCGTCCGTCTCTGTGAACGAGCGAAGTGTTCTGATCTGTCCTGTATAGCGGTCCAACCCAAAGAGACTGTGGTCAGTAACTTCCTGCAGTGAAAACAGTAACCAGCCGTTATATCCTATATCAGCGTCATAGGCTCTGACTTTAGTCACCAAGTGTCCTGCGTTCACATTGCGGGGAATCTCCTCCACACCTTCAGCAGAACCGTTAGAGCTGAGAGGATACAAGATGATCGGAGCGTTGTCGTTCTGATCCAGAATGAACACGTGCACCGTGACGTTGCTGCTCAGTGACGGAGTCCCAGAATCTGTGGCGACAACTTGGAACTGGAACGTTTTCAGGGTTTCAAAGTCAAAACTTTTTAGTGCAGAAATGTGTCCATTTTCAGAGTTTATTGTGAGACTGATTGAATGGAATTCGTCTTTATCTTTTCCATCTCTGATAATATGATAAGCTATAAGAGCATTCTCTGTGTCATCATGGTCATAAGCTTTAACAGCAAACACAGAGGTCCCTGGATCATTATCTTCATGTGACATAGAACGTATAGGGACTGAGTGAAAAGTCTGGACTGTTGTCATTCACATCAGACACCACAATATTGATTGTCTTATCAGAAGATACTGGAAGGGTTGACCACTATCTTTTGCTACTAATTATTGACATCATACTGTGACTGTGTCTCTCTGTCCAGGAGTGATTTGGTTACTAGTGAGTACATTTTGTCTTGTAATGAAGGTCTTAAAGTGAATGGAACATCCTCATTTACGAGGCAAACCACTTTTCCATTTAGACCAGGAGTCGAAGTCATTTACACTAATGAGTGCACTGTAGTTCAGGTCTGGAATCTTCAGAGATTGAACTTGAAAATGAAGTTACTTCAATGATAGGTGCGTTATCATTAATGTCAACTATTTTAATGATCAAGCTGTTGTCTGTTTTAACAGGAGCGAGACCCCTATCTGATGCCTCAATTTCCATTTCATATCTGTCCTTCTCTTCATAATCTATGAAACCTTTAACAGTTAGTACTCCTGACAACGGATTGATATCAAATAGATTCAATATATTTTGATTCATACTGTTGCTAAAGGAGTAAACGACATCTCCGTTTGGACCTTCATCTAAATCAGTTGCATTCAATTGTACAACTGTTGTTCCCATTGGAGCATTTTCATTGAGCACCACAGAATAAACATCTTTAGAGAAAACCGGTGCGTTATCATTTACATCTAAAACAATCACTGTTATGTTCATTTCGCCCGATTTTGGAGGTTTTCCTCCATCCAGTGCAGTCAGTACTAATGAGTGGCTTCCTGCAGTTTCTCGATCTAAAGGTTTTTGAACAACTAATATCGGTATTTTACCGTCTTCTCCTCTATTCTTGATTTCCAGGCGGAAATGATCGTTTTGACTGAGTTTATATTGCTGCACGGAGAAATGACCGCTGTCCTGATCATGTGACGGTTTAATTGAAATCGTGATCAAGCAACACGGACTCAAACATTTCTAGCAGTTTTCTCTTTTTGAGGGACGTTGGACCGAGATCATTATACTCATCACCTCACTTCGGCCTAATGTACTCCCAGAGGATTTTTCATCGAGTTGTCGATTAATTTAGCACGTATTAATGCGCTCCCCCCCTCTCGCGGTAACTTTTCGCTCACAACACAAAAGATGTATCGAATACATTGTAATGAATTATGTTTTTTTTTT